GCGTTTCGACTGCGCTTCGTCACCCACGTAGCTGTCCTTCTGCCCCATGCCCACCATCACGCCCTGACAAAAGTGGAGAGAGCACAAGTCTATTATTTAGAATATCAATACTAAGAATAATTTTTTTAATATTTATAAAGTAATATTTTCAACGACTGCTTTATACTAGACCTTTCCCCTTCAAATATGTCAAATCAAAGCCACATGTTATTTTTTTATAACTTCCAATTGAACTGTCAGTAGGCCTCGCAGAATCAGCCTGACAGCAGCGTCGGTCGAGTGCGAGCGTGACATTTCAGACAATCGTTTCATGATATCTCGTATCTCAAAGGGATTTCCCAGAAATATTGACTTTATGAGCTCAACTATTGCTTAACACTTCCTTCCTGGCTGTGGCCTTCATCAATCCTCAGACCTGCCGGTATCATCCGTCTACTCATGTATCAAATATCATCACTCATATGCGATTGTGCTCGGTTTGGTCGCAGTCCCCTTTCGTTTTATAGACGCCGGTTCATCTCAATTGGCTAACTTAGTCGATCTTTCTGGCAAACTTCGAAGAATATACCCTGTCCATACTACGTACTCTGCCATTTTCGTCACGACCTCTTCCAGCATTGAACGTTGTCTCGTTGCATTCTTGGACATTTCGCCGACACCAAAGTCGGCATCGTCAACGAGGAGCGCCTCGAGCTTCAACTCATCAGCGTAACAAGTGACCTAACTAAATCCATTGCCAGATTTCCTGTTCGAAGCAGGCGACATCTCTCCTTCTCCTCCCCTCCTCTACCGGCTCCCAGCGCTCGATCTTCCTTACTCCTACTCTATTTTGCAAATTTTAAGATTTACACTTCCCTATAGTCTGATTGGAATTGATACAGCCCTTCAAATGTGCTTATTTGTGTAGCCCTCCAAGTAAGTTTAGCGAAGGTAAACACCTTAGCCATTTATTCCCCATTGCGTATGCAAGTCCCTATCTGATCGAATGGGCCAATTTTAGACCAACGATCACAGCCACTTTATCAATCCTATTCGAAGAGATATTAACATGAATGGTGTTGACATTGCACGAAATTCTACCTTAGGAAGACGTGACAACAAATGCAAAGGATGCAGTACGGGGAAGTTCTTTGAAGTTCCCGTCTAAAGACGAAAAGATTCCAAAAAGGAGTTTTGACGAATCAATTTCCTCCCACCCCATTCTTATGGCTTACATTTGCCCTAGTGACAAGTTGTGCTATGTTTTTCCCCAATTGTGGTCTCACAAGTCTCTATGAAGCATGCGACGGGTGGCTGTTAAAGCCTAGGCAAAATGTGAGGTCAGAAATCAGTCCTCTAAACCAAAATACATCCGAAAACAAAACGTTCGAAATGCAAATTTAAAAAATGCTATATTAAACACTCACCTGATGACGGGGACGCCCGACGATGGAGGGAAAGACTGCCCTCGGAGCATCGTCGCCGGCGAATCCAGCCTTGCACATTCCAGATCCATTATCGACGACAAGAGCTTGAACTTCCTCGTCTCCCATTTCGGCCAATTGGTGTCAGTTAGTGAAGAAAGTCTTGCGAGGCAGTGCGAAAGGTTTGCTGACGGTGCTTTGTGGGCAAGTTTTATAGGCTTGCCAGGCCACACATGGATGCCCATATATGGGCATTGAAAAACATTGCTTCAACTGCACCCTGATTGGTTCGAATACTCTGTTCACAAGGGTTCTTCGGGTCTGAAGAGCCGGATGAAGCCTGCTCTTCACCAATCAGAAAAGGGCTGGCTTCAATCGGTTTGTTCACAATGGGCAAAGCAGACAGCCGTGTGCGCGTGTGTACACCCAAATGCATCGTACAGCCTCGCGTGTACCTGGACAGGCTTGCAATGCCTCCCAGACCGAAGGTGAATGGAAGTGTCAAGACTTCTCAAGCCTTTGTCGCAGGGACGCTGGTACAGAGGCAAAGGTTTGTTCAGTCACCAAGACCACAAATAGAGCTCCTAGGGCACAAGGTGAAAGGGCCAAAATGTTAAAATGAATACCACAAAGCGGGCCACAACAACTAACAGTCATGCAAACTAGAGCAACAGAATTGTAGTAAACGTCATTAGTATGCCGTCGTTTTCATGGGGCACCTCGATATAATAGTCATCCTACTCATGTTTGGTATTTCAAAAAGGCGAGAGAAAGCCCCCGTCGTCTTTGCTAAATAAGGAGATATAAGCGTAACGTAATTTAGTTGCCATGACAGCATTTCATTTCGTGTTAAAGTCCGGAAGAATGGATTCGATTAAGTCATTTTGGTTCATTCTTTTTCGGTTAAAACTGGCTGAGCTTTCGATTTCTCTACCAATTTACAAACATCATAATCTCGATCACATCTTTAAACAACTTCAAGTTAGCTCAAACAAATATGCACATAGTACGTAAAATGCTATGAAATGGAACAAACAAATGTTATATTTCTCCTTTGATTTAGTTATTATTTGCAGTTTTTCTTTTGAGCTATTCGTATTTTAGGCTTGGAGTTGGTTCAGGAGTTTTGTAAGAATTACAATAAATTCTGATGATGTCTGCTTCAAGTTGCGCGACGGACGAAATCCCAGTTAGTTTTGTACCGAAACTGGTAGAGGCAAAACTCCTGGGCTCCGCCGCCATCTTCTGATTCTAAGGATCTCATCACTCAGTAGTCGTATGCTAAATCCTCATTGAGCCGGATTTGGCGATGTAAAGACACTTTTAAAGTAAAGTTCATTGTCTCGGAAACTTTAGCGAACAAACCACTAACTATATCCACTATACCAATAACGGTCTAGAAATTAGGAAACCTGGTAGCCCAAAATCACTTAAGGTAATTAAAGGCACTAAAGTTTAAATTGTATCGTTTAAATGAGTAGAAGGCTTCATATTCCATTGAATTTCCCTCAGCTTTTCCTTATTAAGCAGCAAAGTCACTATTCCGCTATACCACCATGGGTACCAATTGTGTCAAGGAGCATTTGCAACTTTCGAGACGAGCCTTCACTTGGGTGAGGTTACTGAGGCGTGATCGCCTTCATTACTAGGTTCGCATCCCGTCTGCAGAGCTTCCGGATCATAATTTGGTCCTCTACTCAGCAATCCTTTGCACATAAAATCTACTCACATTATTGTGGGAAGATTAAACTGAAAGTCCTTTTATCACCGTAAACGAAATAGGGTGCTAGCCTCTAAGTCTTGTTTGTTAAACAAAAATTCATTTTCACTCAAACTCCCTATGTGGTTCCATCCAGCCCTACCTGTTTCAGCAAACTAGCTAACTACAGTCCTTCTCTCCACCTAGGATTTAATAAGATAATTGTCTAATCAATCCATCACTCATTTCATGTTGGAATACAGAGATTCACCTCACCTAGCTCCAAAGGACGAATATTATTGAGCAGGTTTGATAGGTGATTTTTTCGATGAACTCTTCAGCATACCCTCCTGCTATCCGGACTGTTTAGTGCTCGGATATCGTTTGTCCCTTCATGAAGAATATCCTTGGAGTATGAAACCATGCTTTGGTTGAATTCGCCAATCACGAAGCCAAGAATTGTTAGCAGCTTCAATTCATTGAAAACGTTAAATTTTTTGTAATCTTTTCGGGACTTTCAATGATCTTATTGACCACTAACAGCTTTGAGTATGGCTGAACATTCGTTATCTTAAATAAGTTACTTTGTTATCCTGTTGTCTTTTATACTTGTTGTATGTATGTGATATTCATGAATCAATTTTGATTTCAGCTCCAAACAGATTGAAGAAGAGTGAGTAGGTCTTCGAGACTACCAGTAAATTAGATATATTTCGTGCAAAGTGATGAAAGACTGGTGATTGATTTTTCCCACAATGATATGAGTTGAGCTGGCGTTTCAATTGAATGTTACAAGGCCTTGCTTTCCCAAAAGGTGTTTTCATCCAGGGTGGACTGCAGTTTCGATCTCGCATAGGTCTTATCCACTCCCCAAGCGGGAGTCGAACCATGACAGTGCAACTTGTAAGCTCAACACGGTAACCACATTGGCAATTAAGGGTAGTCGTAACTTACAAGCTGGACTGTCATGATTCGACTCTCGTTTGGGGTGTGGATAAGACTTATACGAGGTAGAAACTGCAGTCCACCCTGGATGAGAACAAATTTTGTGAAATTCCATGGAAAACATGAGCTCTACTCATATCATTGTGGGAAAATTCAACAACCAGTCCTTAATCACCTTAACGATTTTTTATTTACAAGTAGGTTTTCCTTCGTCAGCTAGACTGAAGATTTATTTGTGACCAAGCAGAAAAAAAATCACCAGATCTTAGCAGTTTTCATTCAATAAAGAACTCATTACTTTGTTAAACCAGTATGTTAGTAAATGATTTAAAAGGAGGATTCGTTCGTATGTTTTGAGGTTTCCTAATGAACACGAATATTTTATTGAGCAGAACAACACGAGCTCTAGAATTTACATTATATTAGCACCAAGAATGTATAATGGGTAACAAAGTTGAGCTAAGAGTCATAAATGAGAATGACTGACTTGTCGATTAGTTGTCGATATTTACCTTGAATGGAAAAAGTGGGAAATAAGCTGTATATGCTGTCTAA